CATCAACCTCTACTATGTCCCCTCTCCCCTGCTCTATCATCAACCTCTACTATGTCCCCTCTCCCCTGCTCTACCATCAACCTCTACTATGTCCCCTCTCCCCTGCTCTACCATCAACCTCTACTATGTCCCCTCTCCCCTGTTCTACCAATCAACTTCTACTATGTCCCCTCTCCCCTGCTCTGCCATCAACCTCTACTATGTCCCCTCTCCCCTGCTCTGTCATCAACCTCTACTATGTCCCCTCTCCCCTGCTCTACCATCAACCTCTACTATGCCTCCCCTCCCTCCTCCAACCCTCCCTTGTTCTGCCATCAACCTCTACTATGCCTCCTCTACCTCCTAACTTGTTCTGCCATCAACCTCTACTATGCCTCTTCTACCCTCTCCCCTGCTCTACCATAAGCCTCTACTATGTCCCCTCTACCCTGCTGTACTATGCCTCCTCTACCTCATCCCCTGCTCTACCATCAAACTCGACTATGCCTCCCCTCCCCCCGGCTCTACCATCAACCTCCACTCTGCCACCTTTACCACCTCCCCTTCTCTGCCATTAACTTTTACTCTGCCTCCTCTACCTTATTCCCTGCTCTACCATCAAACTCGACTATGCCTCCTCTACCTCATCCCCTGCTCTACCATCAAACTCGACTATGCCTCCCCTCTCCCCTGCTCTACCATCAACCTCTACTATGTCCCCTCTCTATCATCAACCTCTACTATGTCCCCTCTCCCCTGCTCTACCATCAACCTCTACTATGTCCCCTCTCCCCTGCTCTTCATCAACCTCTACTATGTCCCCTCTCCCCTGCTCTACCATCAACCTCTATGTCCCCTCTCCCCTGCTCTACCATCAACCTCCACTCTGCCACCTTTACCACCTCCCCTTCTCTGCCATTAACTTTTACTCTGCCTCCTCTACCCTCTTCTGCTTCCCTGTCATCTTCTACTCTGCCTCCTCTACCCTCTTCTGCTTCCCTGTCATCTTCTACTCTGCCTCCTCTACCCTCTTCTGCTTCCCTGTCATCTTCTACTCTGCCTCCTCTACCCTCTTCTGCTTCCCTGTCATCTTCTACTCTGCCTCCTCTACCCTCTTCTGCTTCCCTGTCATCTTCTACTCTGCCTCCTCTACCCTCTTCTGCTTCCCTGTCATCTTCTACTCTGCCTCCTCTACCCTCTTCTGCTTCCCTGTCATCTTCTACTCTGCCTCCTCTACCCTCTTCTGCTTCCCTGTCATCTTCTACTCTGCCTCCTCTACCCTCTTCTGCTTCCCTGTCATCTTCTACTCTGCCTCCTCTACCCTCTTCTGCTTCCCTGTCATCTTCTACTCTGCCTCCTCTACCCTCTTCTGCTTCCCTGTCATCTTCTACTCTGCCTCCTCTACCCTCTTCTGCTTCCCTGTCATCTTCTACTCTGCCTCCTCTACCCTCTTCTGCTTCCCTGTCATCTTCTACTCTGCCTCCTCTACCCTCTTCTGCTTCCCTGTCATCTTCTACTCTGCCTCCTCTACCCTCTTCTGCTTCCCTGTCATCTTCTACTCTGCCTCCTCTACCCTCTTCTGCTTCCCTGTCATCTTCTACTCTGCCTCCTCTACCCTCTTCTGCTTCCCTGTCATCTTCTACTCTGCCTCCTCTACCCTCTTCTGCTTCCCTGTCATCTTCTACTCTGCCTCCTCTACCCTCTTCTGCTTCCCTGTCATCTTCTACTCTGCCTCCTCTACCCTCTTCTGCTTCCCTGTCATCTTCTACTCTGCCTCCTCTACCCTCTTCTGCTTCCCTGTCATCTTCTACTCTGCCTCCTCTACCCTCTTCTGCTTCCCTGTCATCTTCTACTCTGCCTCCTCTACCCTCTTCTGCTTCCCTGTCATCTTCTACTCTGCCTCCTCTACCCTCTTCTGCTTCCCTGTCATCTTCTACTCTGCCTCCTCTACCCTCTTCTGCTTCCCTGTCATCTTCTACTCTGCCTCCTCTACCCTCTTCTGCTTCCCTGTCATCTTCTACTCTGCCTCCTCTACCCTCTTCTGCTTCCCTGTCATCTTCTACTCTGCCTCCTCTACCCTCTTCTGCTTCCCTGTCATCTTCTACTCTGCCTCCTCTACCCTCTTCTGCTTCCCTGTCATCTTCTACTCTGCCTCCTCTACCCTCTTCTGCTTCCCTGTCATCTTCTACTCTGCCTCCTCTACCCTCTTCTGCTTCCCTGTCATCTTCTACTCTGCCTCCTCTACCCTCTTCTGCTTCCCTGTCATCTTCTACTCTGCCTCCTCTACCCTCTTCTGCTTCCCTGTCATCTTCTACTCTGCCTCCTCTACCCTCTTCTGCTTCCCTGTCATCTTCTACTCTGCCTCCTCTACCCTCTTCTGCTTCCCTGTCATCTTCTACTCTGCCTCCTCTACCCTCTTCTGCTTCCCTGTCATCTTCTACTCTGCCTCCTCTACCCTCTTCTGCTTCCCTGTCATCTTCTACTCTGCCTCCTCTACCCCCTCCCCTTCTCTGCCATTAACTTTTACTCTGCCTCCTCTACCTTATTCCCTCCTCTGCCATCAGCCTCTACTCTGCATTCTCTACCTTGTCCTCTGCTTTGCCACCATCCTCTACTCTGTGTCCTCTATCCCCTTCCCCTGCCATCCACCTCTACTCCATTCCGTGCTCTGCTATCAACTCCTACTATGCCTCCACCACTCCCTCATCGATCTCCTTCCCTTTTCTGCCATCAACTTCTACTATGCCTCTTACCTACCTCCTCCATCAAACTCTAGTTGGCCTCCTCTACCTGCTCCCCTGCTCTACCATCACCTTTTAGTCTGCCTCCTCTACTTCTCTCCCAAGCTTCACTGGCAGTGTACACTCCACCTCTTCTAACTCATTCCCTACTTTGCCACCTGCTTCCACTTTACCTCTGGTACCCCCTCCCCTACTCTGTACCCAGCTACTACGCTGCCTCCCCTGCCAACTTTTACAATGCCTCCTCTACCGCTAACTTTAAACTGCCCCCAGGATCAGCTACTAGTGTCCCTTCTTTACCACCACCCAAAGCTGAATCATCACCAACTGTTCTGTTAAACCCCCTCATCTACCTCCCCCTCTTCTGCTCTGCTATTAACTTCTACTCTGCTTCCTCTACTCTGTTTCACTTTCATCTTCTACTCTGCCTCATTTAGCCTCTCCTCTGCTTCACTGCCATCCTTCACTCTGCCTCCTCTACCCCCTTCCTCTGCTTCCCTGTCATCTTCTACTCTGCCTCCTCTACCCTCTTCTGCTTCCCTGTCATCTTCTACTCTGTCTCCTCTCCCCTCTTCTGCTTCCCTGTCATCTTCTACTCTACTCTGTCTCCTCTCCCCTCTTCTGCTTCCCTGTCATCTTCTACTCTACTCTGTCTCCTCTCCCCTCTTCTGCTTCCCTGTCATCTTCTACTCTACTCTGTCTCCTCTCCCCTCTTCTGCTTCCCTGTCATCTTCTACTCTACTCTGTCTCCTCTCCCCTCTTCTGCTTCCCTGTCATCTTCTACTCTACTCTGTCTCCTCTCCCCTCTTCTGCTTCCCTGTCATCTTCTACTCTACTCTGTCTCCTCTCCCCTCTTCTGCTTCCCTGTCATCTTCTACTCTACTCTGTCTCCTCTCCCCTCTTCTGCTTCCCTGTCATCTTCTACTCTACTCTGTCTCCTCTCCCCTCTTCTGCTTCCCTGTCATCTTCTACTCTACTCTGTCTCCTCTCCCCTCTTCTGCTTCCCTGTCATCTTCTACTCTACTCTGTCTCCTCTCCCCTCTTCTGCTTCCCTGTCATCTTCTACTCTACTCTGTCTCCTCTCCCCTCTTCTGCTTCCCTGTCATCTTCTACTCTACTCTGTCTCCTCTCCCCTCTTCTGCTTCCCTGTCATCTTCTACTCTACTCTGTCTCCTCTCCCCTCTTCTGCTTCCCTGTCATCTTCTACTCTACTCTGTCTCCTCTCCCCTCTTCTGCTTCCCTGTCATCTTCTACTCTACTCTGTCTCCTCTCCCCTCTTCTGCTTCCCTGTCATCTTCTACTCTACTCTGTCTCCTCTCCCCTCTTCTGCTTCCCTGTCATCTTCTACTCTACTCTGTCTCCTCTCCCCTCTTCTGCTTCCCTGTCATCTTCTACTCTACTCTGTCTCCTCTCCCCTCTTCTGCTTCCCTGTCATCTTCTACTCTACTCTGTCTCCTCTCCCCTCTTCTGCTTCCCTGTCATCTTCTACTCTACTCTGTCTCCTCTCCCCTCTTCTGCTTCCCTGTCATCTTCTACTCTACTCTGTCTCCTCTCCCCTCTTCTGCTTCCCTGTCATCTTCTACTCTACTCTGTCTCCTCTCCCCTCTTCTGCTTCCCTGTCATCTTCTACTCTACTCTGTCTCCTCTCCCCTCTTCTGCTTCCCTGTCATCTTCTACTCTACTCTGTCTCCTCTCCCCTCTTCTGCTTCCCTGTCATCTTCTACTCTACTCTGTCTCCTCTCCCCTCTTCTGCTTCCCTGTCATCTTCTACTCTACTCTGTCTCCTCTCCCCTCTTCTGCTTCCCTGTCATCTTCTACTCTACTCTGTCTCCTCTCCCCTCTTCTGCTTCCCTGTCATCTTCTACTCTACTCTGTCTCCTCTCCCCTCTTCTGCTTCCCTGTCATCTTCTACTCTACTCTGTCTCCTCTCCCCTCTTCTGCTTCCCTGTCATCTTCTACTCTACTCTGTCTCCTCTC